TGATAGCTATCATAACGCCTGCCATTTGAAATAAATAAACATTCGTTTGTGATAACAGAGAAATAATGTTGATCTATTATGCATAAGTGTTTGTAGTGGTCATGTCCGGCCAATGGACTTCACCCCTCGAGGTAAAAGTGTACATCTAAATAGCTTGTTTATTGGACACTCACACTGTGCCGTTATGGCCCGGTTCGTCTTATAGGACTTGTCAATTGTCATCGACTCTTTCTTAAGTTCACCTTTTATCACTTATGCTTTACGTGCTTGCGATTTACGCTAAACTTGAGGTTCAGTGATACGAGAATGGTTCTTGTCGTCTTAGAAAGAGTTTTAAGTGACCAATCGAATGTACTTGTAATGTCATATAAATCTTATTCCTGTGACATGTTCACTGGTTTATCAGACGGGTAGTGGAAAGTGGAACTTTTCAATATGCACATTTAACTACAATTTCACTCCGATGTCATCTGGGAGTCTATATTTTGATGTGCTCCAGCTTTCTGCTTTTAAAATTTAGGGGCCACAAATTTGAACAATTGGGATCATTATTTAATATGCGGACATTAAAGAGAGCCCAGGATAATATGAAAGTGATATAAGTAGAGTATGGTGAATTGAATAGAAAAAGCACTAGAAGCAACTTACGGGATCGAGAGCGTTTTTGTTGCACAGGAATAATTTTGATGCCTCCGTGGTCTGCTCGTCCCACGGAAGACTCACTACTACTACTACTAGTGTTTGTGTAGTAGGCATCGGAGTTTGAGGAGTTTTCATAACTCTTGGTAGGTAGATACTTTTGGGGTTGAACACAACATGGACATGCATATGATCGTGGTGGGCTGTGCATGCATCTTCCGGCTAAAAGTTTAAGGACTTACAATAAAATATTATCCTGTGACTTTAGAGAAAGTGAACTCTGGCAAGCCATTTTCTTTTCTTTTTCCTTGTAATATCTTTCACCAGACATTTGACTTTTACGATTTACAAAAATTTTTCATAATTCAAGTGCTTAAGAGAGCCACCAATCTGTGCAATCTTGCAGGCGTCCACATGTGCAGTTAATAGTTCTTCTCCCAACATTCTTGTCTATGGAAGACCCTACTCAATACTGACGCCTAAACTTAGTACTAAAGTCATTTCTAACGTTAGGTACATTGTCACCCTTGTGCAAATCAGCTTTGGACGAGCATCATGACCCAAAATTAGGGACTAAAAATTGAATTATCTCATCTCTATTTTTATCGCACTTGTTGTTTCAGTCTTTTTCAATAAAGCATGATCAACTAGGTTAATATTTTTTCCTTCCATCTTGTTTTGTGGTTAACAGTATTATAGCCCTAAAAAGAATTTACCAATCAAGCACAAAGTTTCTGCAGCGAATGTTAAAATAGTAGCCCAACGAAAGTCATCATTCTTAAAAAAGGCAGTATCAGCGGCAAAGTACTCGAAACCAAACTTTTCCGTTGTGGTCAAAAGGTGGTCGACTGCGATGCATCCCACCCTAATAAAGTCTAACACAATTTGTCTATTACCAAAATACCATCTTTGTCTTGAATATTCTTTACAAAAGGAACTTTTTCAGGGTCTATTTCAACTATCACAAATAGCTCTTCTGATCTCATCCATTGGATGATTTTCTTTTCAGTCTGAAACCGATGTAAAAGCTAATGAATAACAAGTTTTCCTTTAAATATTGACAACCAGACAAATTAATTAACTCTGTATCCAAGTGTGATAGAATTCAATCAAATTCATCAATAATTTAAAATAAATTATTTTGAACTTGGTAGTGAAATTTAATGCGTCGTATCAAGTTCGATGGTATATCAACTAATGTTTACCACCGTGCTTCACACTTGTGTAATTATTTACTAACTATATGCTATATGTTTTTTGTTAATCCCAATTAACTAGGTTATTTCCCTAACGTATAAACCGTCGTTTAATTTACAGTTTCACTCCAAGTCTTCAGGAGAGTAGAAACGCGACTTTGCATTATTGACAGCAAAGCCTTATAGTAGCAATTTCCTGATAATATAATTAAGAATTAATTGCGTATTTGCGTTGAAAATTGACGAATAGGTGACATACCTGATAAAACGGGTCTGACAGCACCATGAACGGGGCAACCTCCATGGCCAAACCCAGCTTGCGTTCTACTGGCTGGATGAACTGGAATCTTAATGGGTGCCCTACTCTTGTGCGTTTTTTTGTCTAAAGGGGGAAATACAGTCTTTTTATTTCAATCAAAGTCTGAAAATCTACCAGGCAGTAGAAATATAGTGACACCACCATAAATCCAATGGTAGTAACTAAAAGGCTGAACTCCTTTGTATAATAGAAATTTCAAGTCAAAAAGGGATAGCTGAATAAGCATATGGATTCTTGTCATTTAGATAATGAAAAGTGAAGAAATACCTTATAGAACTAAAAGTAATTAGTACGCTTCATGCGGTCAACAAATCAGCGTTCTTTTAATAACTTGACACAGTCATCCGGTCGATTATCTTTACTCTCCTTGGTGCGCACATGTTTCGCCAGAAATAAAGTTGTTAAATTGTTCCAAGGAACAAATGACAAAAGGCTGGTTTCAAAACTGAGAGTTAAAAGTTGTAAATCATCAACTTTATAAGTCCACTCATGTCATATTTGGATGGTATCTATATTGATTATAATATTCTCGATCATTCCGCTTACTATTATAACTAACAATGGAAGAAATGGTGATTTCCACCCATCTACGCCTTATTAATGAAATATTTTATGCCATGTAAAGTTTTGGAACATAAATTCTGTATACAACAAAAATCATGTAATTGACTTATTAACTATCGTCTCTACTTGTTCATTTTGGATGTTAACATTTGCACAATATTAAGGCAGACAATGCTGTCCAATGTGAACTGCCAGCGACACTCATATTTTGTCTTTTCGTTTTACGTAGTGAAATAGAAATTGCACAAATTTTCAAACGATAAGGATATAAAAGAACTAGTCATAGAACTAATACTTTTCGTTAATTTGAAACGATAACTATACGTTCACTCAAACAAAGTTCATTCTCTATGTCTAAGATGAGCTCAAGATATATGATTAGAGATATTGAAATGATAATCTTTAAAATTGTATTGGTAAATTGGCCTTGATAATATTCTCGTATTAGCTGAATACTGGCCTTCATATTCGAATGATATTTGTACTAATAAAATGTAAATTAATACCAGTGAGGCAAAGCGAATTATCTTAAAATGGCATTTTGATCATTTATAGAGAATTATAGGCTAATTGTAGGACAAATTCATTTTATGTGATTGCTACCAATAACGTTTAAGTAAATTAACGTACCTTTACAATCTAACTTAACTTAATACCTCAGAAATATACACATCAGAGGGAATTAAATAACCCAAAACTTTCAATAAATTCGTGTTGAATTTAACAAAGATAAATAATCTAATTGACACCATTTTCTTTTCGATAAGACATGAGTACCTAAAAATATCTGAATGAGTAGTGATAAGACTTCATTTTCTGGCATAAACATAATTGAATTTACAATTTAAATCTAGCATATAAATAAGAAAGATTTCGACACAATATATGAACTTTAACTTACTTTGCTGAAACACACAAATAGATTAAGTAAAATAATGTATATATTTGGGACTGGTAGAAAGGTCAACAATAACTGCGCTAAAACTTTGGAGCAAGAATATTATTTTTAATAAAAAACATGCATTATTTTCGTGTTTTAAAAACCAGTAGAATTAAAATTAAAACCTTGCGCCATTTTTAAGTAGAAGATGAAATCATAATTTGATCGAAAAGTAAAATAATGGAAAGTGGTAAATTTGTTCAAAAACCTTAGTCAAACAATTTGTCAAAGGCTATTATGTTAATTGAATTTATTATATAAACTTCTCCGACTACCTGAATCTATATTTCTTAGTAAACTCTTTATTCCGTATATATATATATATATATATATATATATATATATATATTACAAAAAGTGCAAGCATATCTTTAAAAGAGTTTTATAATCAGATGGAATGAGGCTTGAAATTGTAACAATTGAACAATAATGATATTTTACTATCATTTTTGCCAAAAAAAACTAACTGATTTTTATTGCGTTGCTGCAGATAGGGGAATCGTAAACAAAATTGGTGGTAATTGGATGGCAATGAGGAATGTGAGGGCTTTGACACCGATATTGAGCATTGCGAAAGAACATTCTCTTTTGTCCTTTGCACCAACAACCAAAACGAGGAAGATTATAACTATCCAGGATTTATAAGAACAGGTTCTGCAAGTGTACATGCAGAAACCACTCACTGGAACTATCCCTCTTATTAGCTAATTACCGCCGATTCCCATTCTCACAATGTTTCAATTGAAATTTGCAAATTTGTGAAATCCACCAATTATGCAACGCTTTAAGGCTGGCGGAGAACCAATGACTCTTCCATTGACCTTGAGATCCTGATTAAGGTACCTCATGTGTTACACATTTTTGGCAATAAAACAAGAAAAATCACAATATATGAAAAATATTAGGGGGAAAATTTACATTGAGTGGATTCAAATGAGACAAGCCAAGCTTACTAAAATTTAGTCAATGGTGACTTATTACTTCCAAACCATTTGATCACCACTCTCAAATGCTAGAAAACAATCGCAAATAATGTAAGAATTTAGTAAACACCCGTGACTAGTTGCGGATAAATTGTGATCTAACGAAATGACCACTAACTAGCAATATCGGAGTACTGATCTCTCTTTTCATCCAGTCAGCGTCTAGGCTATTTGAAGCAAAAATATTTAAGGAATGGATGATCGACTGTCTAAATCCACTAATTGGTCAATTACTTGTGGCAGTATGGATATGGATACCCTCAGAAATGTGAGTACAAATTCTGCGATCTGAACGTTGGAAGTCGCCTCTAGCCACAGAGGAAGAAATAAACGATTGATTCCAAAGACCCAATTTTGAGTTGGTTACTTTTACTTCCTTTTAACGCATTTGGTCCGTTTTATTGTTTTTTGTGTTTAATTCGTTTCTTTTCATATTGAAAATTTGTCATTTTGGTAATAACGTGATTTAGCAAATTATATGCACCCATTAGATATTTGGTGTGGCTCAATAAAGGACTTTGACAATGAGTACAATCATATTTCAGAGCACGAATTTAAATTACAGAATACAAAATCAAGGTCACACATCCGAATGGATTGTAAATGATGTTTGGAGTGATGGTGGTCTGAAAATATGTGATTCTTTCGCTTATTCATATATTTTTACAAAAACTACGATAGTATTTTTTTAAATACGAATTCTTGAAGGGTATAATTTACAAAAACTTTAGATGCCTTGCCAAATCTCAAACCCATTTTTTCAAATGTTTAGTCATAAAATGAATCATAAAACGCCTACGCTAAAGAGATGGAAATATAATAATAAATATCAACTGATTAATAATTAAAAAAATCACTGAAGTTTACAAACTATAACCAGGCAATTTCGAACTGGATCCGTTAAGATCAATCAAATCAGTCAAAAATTTGCCATTGAAAACCAACCTTTAAAACAACTATCAAACCGTAGCTAATGCTTAAAGCTTTCAAAAATCTCATGAAATCATGTTCTAAGGACTGAAATCACATTTAATTTCTGAAGCTATTTGAAAGCCTTTGTTTCAAGAAAGGCATCATCTAATGTCTCCTTACTATCCTCTTTGTAAATGGCAAAATAATTGCCAGGAACTTCCTCATATTTTAAGGAAATCCATGCATTAAAATATTCGATGATATTTTGACTTATAAGGAGATCGTTATTCTGCAATAAAAAGATAGTAATTTGAATAAAATTTAGGCAGAACTCACGAGATTCTGAGGAGGACTGATGTTTATCGGGCTTTGTGATAAGAAACAACTCTCCATGATTGTTTTTGGCTACCTTTGCAGGAATCGGCTTCATCTGGCAATTACCTGCTTTCTACAAGCCAATGCAATTGCAAATTTAGCAAATAATCTATCATATTGCTTTATTTTGTCCTCAAACACAACTTTATTAATGCAAAAATATGAGTCGACTTTGCTCAAGTGACCAATTAGCATTTAGGTATAATGCTGGACAAATACTTTAAGAGATCATTAAATTAACTGGCCAAAAATACTAAATACTGCGGAAATAAATTCACTTATGAACTAACGTGGAAGATACTTAAATTTGATTTCCTATACATTAGAATTGGATTCACTTAAGTTTGCCGCAAAATCAGTGGTAGGCAATCTGATGAAATCATTACGAAAAAGAATTAAACAATTGATTGATTAACCTTCGAAACTATTTCCTTGTTATGCGTAAAAATAATTATAACGAGACAATAAAGTCAGTTACAGAAGGCACCTTGTCTTCTCGAATGGAGTTATGTAAAATTGATTTCAAGTATCTATACACACCAAATACGAAGAGATAGGCAATTGCGTGGTTAAGATAAAGCGTACAGACAAACACTAAAATGTGGTAAAAATGGCTGTATTATTTATTTGTTAAATTTAATGCTACTTGGATGTTCGATTGAGTACCGGCCTCTTTGTCATTTATTTAATAAATTGAATGCTTATGAGTCATACGTTGAGTGAATCAGAATGAGTGGTGAATCTAGAAGATGAGTGAAAGCCTGTAAATGTAATTATGTGCAGCGAGAAAAATAAAATTGAAATAAAAGACAAAATGTCTTCGAGTTGAATGACCATTTCTTTAATTTCAGTGAAGGGAAAGATTTTCTAGGGCCTAATGCACCAACACTAGCGTATCTTTCAATACACAGTGAATGGAATTTCCTACCGTACTGGGCACGTTTTTTGCTAGTTAATGGGAGTTGTGAATTCGGAAAAGTATAATTTCACGCCTCATTCCAATAGGCATGTTTAAACTATTTTTTCAATTAAGCTTGGTGGACATTCATGGAAAGTTGAGCATATCTGAAAGCGAAATCACAAATTTTTCAATTTATTCTGCAACTTTCTTTATTGAAGGATATTGCCAGAACCTGGTTTCACGAAATCTATACTGCAGAAAACTCATTTAAAGACCTTATCGAGAATACGGGTTGAATAAAAGAAAGCATTGCTTATAAACTCAATTCGATGTTCCTTTCCAAAGGAAATTTGTAATGCTTGCACAAATTCAAAAACAGGAGTCCCACGACTAAAAGCAATTAGGAAAGTTTCCAAATTCGCAATGTATGCATATCCCCGGTTTGAGAAAACATTTCAACGAAGAGTATACAATACCAGTTGGAAGAAAAATCCCCAAAAATGCTTTTATTTTCTTTCTGTGAAGTCAGATCTCATCTCTCACTTTAGGGGGGGGGGACAATGCTAGAATCAACTGAGTTGCTGAATCTGAAGAAAATAACACATTTTTTGATGATTATCAACGTTTCCATGCATATTCTTGAAATCGATTCTTGAATTGCTTCTTCTCGCCAAATATGGCTGCATGCCAAGTAGAAAGTGAAATTTTAATCGTACGATGCAAATTAAACTTTGGAAAGTTTGAAAAGTTCTAGTCAACATTGATGAAAAAGTAAACAACTCAGTTCTTCCTGAATCTAAATAACTAAAAACTCTTGAGAAATCGACGTCCTTTAACATTACATTGCTTATAAGCTGGCGTAGATTTGTTGTTTAAATACTATTTCCCAATAAAATATGTGCGAATTCACTTCGCATTGCCTGGGATAATACGAATCATTCGCTTATTGAAACCTAATAATGAATGAAATGGTGGTCAACCAAAATTTACACCGTTTGCTTGTTTCCTAAATCGGAGTTACTGCGTGTGTAAAACATCTTAATCGGCTCATCTGGTTGTAACGGCGCTCTTTACATTACCTGTTCACATGGATTCACCAACACCACCACCACCCCCACCAACACTACAAAGGAAATCCCATTATCTTAGATGAGAGAACATGATCTTGGGCATCAATTAGTGAAATTTAATAGCGTTTTCACAAATCTTGGAAACGTCATCACAGCGAGCATTAACAGGGATTCCAATTTCATTTCATTCCTAAAAGAACCTAAAGTCTTAAGGGTGAAAAAAATTGAAAGGAATCTGTGGTATTGTACCTTTTTTAACCTTTAAAAAGGAGATATTGAATGGGGTTTTCTGGTATTTATTCCCCTAATTTTATGCAAGATCCTCGCTCTCTTTATTCCTTCGGGAAACTCAGATAAAAAAATAGACTACGATTATGAAGTTTAATCTCGGTAATATTGTTGCAGGAATAATTAGAAGTAAATAAATCAAATAGATTCCTATTTTCATTAAATTAAAACAAAGAAAAATGCTTGAAAAGCTTGCCAGTGTAATAAAAAGTGTGGCAATTAAGACAATGCATCAAGTTCGATTGATTGAGATTAGAGATCTATAAATTTTAGCAAATGCCAGATATGCAATTGACACAACAATTGCATAATAAACGAAATATTATATCATAGCTTACACAAGGTGCATATTGGTTGTGTGTATAACAGTAGGCTGATTTAGGGTTGACTTCAACGAAAGTTGTTTTTGATGATGGCTAAAGACAAAATACGAATATATAAGTAACAACAATTTTATTACTCCTACCAATAAGACATTGTGCTCTTTGTCCTTAAGAAGAATAACAGAGTTGACACAATCAAATTCCACTGATTTTAATGTTAAGTACTAATAATAAACATGGTTTCTACTTTTGGTGATGCTGATCTTGTGCAGATGAATAAATTTGCCGTCCGTAGTAGATATATTAAATTATGAGATTTTTACGAATTTTTTTAAATATTTCTTTGAAATTAAGTGCATGTTGAGGTATGTATATGTATATGGAAGAATTCGGAAGACTAAACGAATTAGTGATATGTCGCGTGCTGAGGTACTGTTCTAACAAAGGCATATTGTCGCAGTTATCACTACGTTTCTATTGTAAAAATTTGTTTCGCTCTGCGTTAAGAGAGACGAATATCCAAGTTTGATTTTTTACCTCACCTTCGTGCTCAAACGTTTCAATTTGGTTAATTTTTCGAATTTATCTAATTATATTTTGACAGTGTAATCGATTCTCTCAGGCTTAGACATTGAATTAAACTGATTTTAATCCAAATTCTTTCTGAGCTGTTAAGTGTTTCGGACCTAATTTTCGTTAAAAGTTAAAAATATAAGGCATAATGGATGTTTTAATGAAAATTTACCTTGCCATTGTCATCGATTGGCTTCGTGTCCGTTCTTTTTGACTTCTAAATAGAAAAAGCGTAACTGAATAAAATGTTTTAAAATGCAAGAAATAATTAAGCTTAAAAACCTTCAATTAGTGATGAAGTAATAATTTAAATTTTTGTCTTAATACACCAAATGCATTATTTAATGGGAGAAATGCAAAAAACTATTATTAAAGAAAGATTAAATACTTACTTCTTGTTTCTTTGCCTTGGGTGATTTTGCTTTAGCCATGGCTACTTAAACCTCTAAAAATAAATAAAAATATTTGAAGATATTTAACTGCTTTTCTCTGCAATGCAGTTATATATAACTATGTGAACCAATGAAATGAAATGAGATGGGAAGATTATATTTAAATGTCTCATAATTGGCCGTGAGAATATTTGTGATTTTCCAACGGTGGTATCAAATACGCAACTGACCGATACGAACGCGATGTTTCCACTTCAAAACGTAACTTGTAGGCTAGATTTATTGCACTGTTGGGATTGTTAGCGCATTTAAGAATTTTATGTGAGATAGCTTACTAACTTCAAACTCTGATGCAGTTTGAATATTCCGAAGAAAAAAATTTTTTTTTAATTTGGGAAATAACATAATTCAGATATTTATTTCCCCTTAAGATAATTCTAATTCTAGAATTTATACGTCGCAAATTTCTTCTTCCTATCGTTATGCCTTATATGTGAAGGAATTGAAGGTCATATTTGAATACTACTACTTACTACATTCACTTACTCCATTACAAAACCTAAATTAATTCTGAACTAACAATACCGATGATTTTCATTATCTCCTAAGTCTACCTTCAGTATTCCAAACTGACTTGCATCAGAAAGTAAGCAGCAACAAACTTAATTGTTTTTTAGATATTAAGATACTGGCTATTAGTCGCATTGCTACTCCACAAAAGGCGGAAAATAGTGGCAGCCGAATTTAAGTGGCTTTTTTCTTAAATAGTCCCCATAGCCTAAAAAATAATTTAAATTTTATTATCCCTGAGCGTAATTTTGATTGAAAATCAGAGTTCTTGTTCCGCAAAATGCTTGTTTATTTTAGTCAACACAAAAATATTCTTCAATGTGCCAGTTACAACATAATCTTATTAATACAAAGAGACTTATTTTAATTCTGCAACTATTTTTCATTTGTTGAACAAATAGTTATGAATTTATAACTGAATTTTTCGTCATTGGCAAATATTTAAGAGTAAAAACTGGAAATTTTTATTCACTTTAATATTATTTAGCAGTGCATATTGAGTTATGCGAAGTTAAAATTTCAGCTGTTTCAAGCAACAAGTGTGTCGATATTTATTGTCATTTACTTTTCTCAACCAGTGATAGAAAAGCTGGATTGGAGAGTGAAAATCGTCCAATATAATTAATTAACAAATCAGTAAGCACTGAATATATATGAAATGAATTTTTTCGTCAATATTGATGACAAATTTTGAAAACGATATTTCGGAACGTTAAATTGTGTAAGTATTATGTATTCAAGATCATAAAAAGCAATTGAGCAAAATATTTGGAAAACTTAGGTTATCCTTCTCATTTTCTTGACTTTTCCCTTTCAGCTTTTGCTCGAACTTTTGAACTCGATTCTTAGCCCTCTCCAAAAATAAAAAACTGTAAAGTTTGTTAATATTAGTTGTTTATGATAAATTATTAGAAGTTGAAATCTTTGAAACTTTAAGC